TATGTACAACCTACTTACCTACAAAGGTATCCAAAAAGTCACTTTTGTAATACTAGGATTGGTTATTTTATTCAACAGTAATGATGAACCACAATAGGGACCATTGGGTGAAGTGGTTTTTCTTGTTATCACACAAGACCCAGTTAGACTGAAATCAGTTTAACAGATTCCCAAAAATAGGTTCAGCAAAGAAAACTGTTCTCCAGCATGTGACAGAATTTATACACGTTTCAACCAATCGTTTGAGATCATGGCCCTCCAGCCCCTTTGTTTGCTGAAATCTTAAAAGATCAAAACCTCAAATTGAATTTGGTTTCATTTCATTTTTCTCCAGAGCTTTGATCTCCCCCTTGGAATTTATCAATAGTTTCATTCTCTTTCATTTTCTTTAGACTTTGGACACTAAGTGGTGACATCAGGAAAATGTCACCTGGGCAGGCTCACGCACCTTTCTTTGAAGCAGTGCATGTTCCCTGGGGCTGTCGGAAAGGCGAGCCTGCAGGTATGCCAGCGATCTGCTCAGGACTAATTCAAAGCAAAGCAAAGGCACATTTGAGGCATTCCTATTGTGAAACAGCAATGGAAATGAATGCATAGATTTATTCGCCTTTACTATTTTCTATGAGAAGACACCTAGATCTGCTTCTGCCATTGTAACAATCAGGGAAACCACAGAAAATCCAGATTGCATTGTGCTGAAGTCAAAGCATACAAAAAAACGTAATCGGTATAAGTAGGCTTTTTAAAAATCTGAAAATGATCTGAGAAATTAGAACAGGTAATAGGAATGTATTATAGGCATCTAATGAGACCTAGCCTTTGAAAAGCTCATCTTTAAAGTTTTACAAAGCATCTTGAATTTTAGAGAAACTTCCTGGGTCCACAATAATGGAGCAGCCCAGGGGGCTACAGTACTTAGGGAAAGTGAACGAACTACAAAGGTAATTCTTTCCAGTCTGTAACCGCGCAGGCTACAACCCGGTGCTATATGGGGATCTTTGTAACTCACATGGGTAGAACATTGTACTAGAATTTGTTTGATAAAGTCATTGCTTATGAATAAGATGTAAAGGGAGTAGAATGGGGGGAGAGAATATATTTTTAGTTTTTGAAAGCAGTGCTACTGTGTTGGGAAACCATGAGCGTTCCAGAGAATTTACCATTGCACCATAAATAGAAATATAATTGCTTTCATCTTCATTACACGGATTTTTATGTGCAGCTAAAAACAATTTGAAAACTGTAATGAAATTATACTAAACTTTTACTTGGAACAGCGTTGTTGTTTTTCCAGCTAATTTGATGATTTTTTTGTTGTTCTTATAGTTGTTGTTGTTGAAAATTTCCTGATGAGACTAAAAATAAAAATAAATCCTATTAACTTCTAGATAAAGATATACATTTAAAAGTTGTGTGTGGGGGGGAATCAGTAAGTAGTGCAGAGTAATAGCCAGGGGTGAAATATGTCCCATCACAGAATGTTATTATAAAATAACCTTATGCTCTTTATTGTGACATGAGTTGAGTTTGTTGCTGGAAACTGATGGCAATAGAATTTTGACAGAAACTTATCCCTCTTTGTAGATTGTGGGATTTGTAACATACTTTTTGTCCAACTTATGTAATGTTCATATGTGATACTCATTTACAAATGTCAGATTTTAATTGGTTGTTGCTTTTATTGGGTAGATTTATGTAAGCATAATTCTGCTAAATTAGGTACCACAATTTGAGAATAGTAATAATATATTTTTCCACTCGAGAAAATACATTTTAAATCATTTTAACCCACTATAAACATTTTGATAGTAGTTTTTAGAGACCACTCGTAAAGCATTTTAAAAAAAAGCAATAATATTGGGCAGTGTTTGAACACAGAGTAATAATTCATACCAATTACTTTGCTAAACATAAGGTCTCAGGCCCAATAATATATCATAATTCATACCTTATGGGCTGATAGCAATTAAAATACCGTCATGAAGTATATTGCAAACATACATAACTGTTGAAATCTTGCTTATGTGGAATAACATTTGGTGTTTTATTAACCAGAATAGTACCTCTGTTTATTTTGTTGACAATGTTGTAATCATTAGAGAACCATTCCGGGAGTACCTTTAATATACACACAGACTCGGACTTTATGTCATATTATTATGACTCTTAATACTGTTTCTATTGTCACGGCTATTAACGCTTTTGAGTCTGCTGACTATCCAGTCATGTCAGAACAGGTACAATGAGATGGTTCTAAAGTGAGGTCAACACACACCCGAACTCTCCCTCCAACTGTGAAGAAAACAAACCAACTGAACAGAAAGGCCTACTTACTGACTTTGGAAAATGTGTTCTAGAAAGTCTCCGAAGGGTTTGGCCTCTGCCTCTAAAAAGTCAACAAACATTAGATGAGACAAAAGGGATTACTAGATTGAGTACATATAAACTATCCCGGGATGCCCACGGTACCTCTAGCAGGTGACAGTTGGGTCACCTTACACCTACGCAAGCCCTAACATGAGACCAGGTTAACAGAATAGACAGTGGTATCGTCTGGACCCACACGTGTTCGGGACGGCCTACTTCCCGTAAGCTTTCCCTTGAAGTCTTACCTCACAGTTTCATACAACACCGTATCCCCAGTCATCGAGTTGGAAGATTGTAAAGACACATTTTGATATAATAAATAGAAAATTTCTGCACCTCAAGTTAAAATGATGTAGACCTTGGAACCGTAAAGTTGAGGGTTTATGGTCTGACAGCCCACTTAACGCTCTGAGCTTCAAATCCAGGATGAGTGCGTGTACATGAGACTTGCCATGCCGTAGGTATATACCCGTGTTAGGAATAGTGTGTGCGAAGCACCCAGAGCCGTCATAGCCAGTGCTCGGTGCACATTTGAAACAGGTTCTGGAAAGGTGCAATGCTTGAAAAGTTTACTTTTCACTCTAGTCCACATAAATATATTGTGTGTGTGTGTGTGGGGGGGGGGGTGGATCAGTTCAAACTTTTGATCCAGTGTAGACATTAAGTGTCTACAGTATGCAAGGAATGGGCAAGGAACCATGTACATCAAGGAATGGTGGCTTCTTTCAGTTGCTTGGTGGCTGAGATCAGGAAGTCAGGCATCAGGGAGTGAGAGGAGAGAGGCAGCCTGTGGGGCTTGGTTGCGGTTAAGCTGGCGGTCAAGCAGAATGCTTCCCTGTTAGATACATCTGTAACGTTATTCGCTTAACTGTGCCTTAACTTTGCCTTTCCGGTTTTCTGTCTTCTGATTCTTTAACCCCTGCGCCTTGCCAATCCTGGAGGAGCCGCCCCTGGGGACTAGTCACATTTTACAGAAAGTAAGCAACTCCCACCACTGCAGAGCCCACACTCAACAACCTCCCTCTCCAGCCACTGATCCTTCCTCCCTTTGCCCCTGCCTGGGGCCAGGTACCAGATAACTAGGGACCACCCCGCACATGAAGCCCTCTGAAATGATTCAAACTTACCAGATTCTATGCCTGCATACCCTGCATCGCCCAGCCCTTCCCAAGGGCATCATAATAAAAGCTTCGGCTCCGAAGTTCTGTGGCCCCCTTTGCTGCCTAGCCGACCCTGAGCTTCTCCCTGTGGCAGGTAAGAAACTATCTGTTTTAATGGAAACTGTCTCCAGATCTGGCGGCCTCATTATTATTCCTAAATGACAATTATTCTTAAAAACTGACATATGCCTACATGGTGGTTACGTCTGAGTAATCCATAAAATCCTTATTTTAAACCACTAGGGCCTGTAGCCTGCAAAATGCCGTAAGAACAGAAGAAGGTGGGCAGCAGAGACGGGATGGCCTGTCACTGCCCCTGCTGGTCGCGCCAGGGAGACGGCAGCAGCAACAAATAAACACAACCAGAAGAACACAGCTGCACCTTTTATTGGTACGGTGACTTCGCAGAGGCTGGTCTGAATACAGAGTTCCTAGTAGCGACACAGCGCGGTCTGACGGCACGGCTGAGGACGTCCCCGCAGCCACAGAAGCACATGGATAAACGGGGTGGTCGTGTTACAGGGGGGTTGAGCACATACAGCAGGTGAGCCATGCAGCGCAGCTCCGAGGGGATGGCCACCCGGGGACGCAGCATCTCTGCCCCAGGCGGCAAGTCTCAGTGAGCTCCTCTGGATCGCGTAGACCTCTCACTGGAGCGACCCTGTCACCCCACCAGCTACGGATGTGAAGCCACACGTGTCTGAGCTCCTGTGACCGATGGTGGCGCCAGGAAAGGCCACGACGGACGGAAGGAGCTCGCGAGACACGTAAGCAGAGACACGGTGCAGGCAGGAGCTGCCTCCTCATCAGGGAAATGAAAAACTCGGGACTCCGTGCATGCGTGTACAGGCTTGGCGCTGGCGGGGCTGAAGCAGGGGCACAGTCTCGAGGGCTTTAGGTCCTCTAGGAGAAACAAAGAAAAGCATGTGGAGGAAAGAAAATTCTAGAAACGAGCTCTTTCAAACGGGTGTTTTGAAGGGAGCACCACCAATTGCATAAAGTTATAAAACAGGGTAATAAACATGTACATCATGATCAGGTTTGTAAAGTCCAAGGAAACACCACACCTACAAAGAAACGGAACATGTGTCCCGCACAGCGTGTTCTAGAAAAGCGACGGGCCAGCGAGGAACACGTGGGCGGCGCTACTGTACGGCGGGCGCGCCCTTCCTCCCCCCACGCTTTTCCAGGCCCTTCTCTCGCCACGTAGGGGAAACACGGCCCCAGGGCCGCGGAGCCCAGGAGCCAGAACGGACGGATTCCACCGGAACTGGCGAGAAAGAATGCGCACGCGCACAGCGCACGCACGCACGCACGTGCGCGCATGCGCACAAGCACAGGCGGGCCCTGTTGGCCTCTGCTGGCGCGTCCTGGGTGGCTCTGCGTCCACGCCGCGGGAAGCACCGGGGACAGGGCAGCCTCGGCGGCGGCCACCACCGAGCAGTGTCGCTGCGTCCACCTGCTGTGCGGCTCTCACATGGTGGAGTCCCACAGCTCGGAAGGCAGCCGGCCGCAGGAGGCCCCGTCGGGCTTCTTCACCAGCGTGGGCTTCTTGCAAGGAGGAGGGGGCGGCGCCCTGGGCTCCGAGGGCTGCAGGAGGTGCTGCCAGTCTCCTCTCCCCTCGCAGAGCTTCCGCCTCCAGTCCAGGAGCTCCTGCAGGGCCACGCTTTCGTTCTCCGAGAGCCTCAGCTGATGGATGACCTGGGGTGTGGGGGGAGGGGAGGAACAGCACACACAGTGAGCGAGTGGAGAGAGGAGAAGAGCCACACCGGGGCCGGGCTGGGTGTGAGGGGGGCTCAGGCGCTGCTTGGAGGCCTCCAGGCACTGCTGTCAAGAAACTATACGGCCGCTGGGCAGGGGGCCGCTGAAGTAAGATGGCAGACAACATAGTATGTACGACAGGTGCACCGGCCCAGGAGATGAACCTCCAGGTGATTCCAGAAACACTCAAACATGTGTATGCCCTTCGCCCGCTGTCATTATACATGTTCTTACGACATCTCACACTTTCCCCTCATTTATCACAATTGTAACCCTATTTGTAATGGGTGCTTTTGGGTTCTTCGAGGCTTGCCAGATGCTAGGGTTCAGCCCTCCCATCTGTGGGAACGTGACCCTACTCCTGACTACAGCAGGATAACCCAAGGATGGAGCCCTGCTCCAGAGGGCCCCTTCACGGTCCGTGTTAACAGAGGACCACACTAATACAGAAGTGGTTTCCAAGAGTTGGGTGTGGCAAGGGACAGCCACCGCAATATCCAACGGGCTAGTATGACCCGGGCACCTGCAACCCCAATGGAGAATCAGCACATACTCCTTTGCAGCAGCAACTCAAAGCAGCGATCTCAACTAGCAGCTATGTGCTCTCTGACCTTGCGCCTACAGAGACAGACTAGGAGAGCATCGTGCGGTGCAATTCTCTCTTGCTTCCTCAGGATACCATTTTTTCTGGCCATTCTAAAGTGAGTATGCCAGACATCACAGTGGGAACACAGGAAAATTCAGAAGAAACAAGAAGTCTCAACCCACTTCCAAAATACCTACTGCTCTGTTCTGGTGCCCCTTCCAGCCTCCCCAACAAAACAAAAGAGAATACAGGAAAGCAGGACATGGCAGTTGGCTCCTGGGTAGAAGCAGTCACTCAAAAGCAGCAAGCACAGTCAGTGCTCCAGGATGGTTCTAGAGCGAACACCTTTAACCCGGACACGTGAGCCTACTGTCTACCCGCAAAAGAAGAATTAAAGCTAGAATAAAAAAACAAAAAGATGGCAGAAGGTGGAGATGTGGTAAACCACAGAAGCTGGGAATTCAAACCCATACTGGGAGTGCAGAACTAGATTTCTGGAGCTGGTTACTAGCAAAAATAGATCCCTCAGACTGGATGTACATATAATCAGAAAAAAACACAACCCCCCCCCCCCAAAAAAAAAAAAAAAAAAAAAACCTAAGTGTGGGAAACAGGACTGTGATGGTCTGATCCCTGAAGCCACCTCCAGGAATCAATGCCGAAGTAGTATTCCCCCACCCCTTAAAAGGGTATTTTTCTCCAGTGTCCAGGAATGCATCAGAACAACCTGGAAATGAGGCATCCTCCTGCTGGGAAGGCTTTTGTGGAAGCCAGACTGACCCTACAGTCACAAAAGTGAGCCAAGAAAGAGAGGATGTAAAAATTATTATTGTTTATTTGAGAGAGAGAGAGAGTAAGCTGGGAGGGGCAGAGAGAGAGAGAATCCCAAGCAGGCCCCATGCTTTCAGTGCAGAGCCTGATGCGGGGCTGGAACTCACAAACTGTGAGATCATGACCTGAGTGGAAACCAAGAGCCGGATGCTTCACCGACGGAGCCACCCAGGTGCCCCCAAACTATTTTTCAGTAATTATTTGGGGTGCTAAATCTGTACCAGGTCCTTTTCTAAGCACCTGAGAAACATTAACTCAAGCAGTCGTCCTGAGAATTGTATGAAGCAGTGCCACCTTTTTGCAGATGAGGAAATTGAGGCCCAAAAATGTAAAGTGTAATTTGCCCAAAGTTCCATGGGAAATGGTGTAACCAACCAGTCAAGCTCTAGAGTCTGTCTTTTTAAGTATTACTTTATGCTGCTTATCACTGACTGAATAGCTGTGGGGCAGAGTTTGATGTATGCTAACGACCAGCATCCCTATGCCATGGTCTTCTTTGTTCCTTTCCTCAGTGGGGTTCACGTGGAATCTGTATGCTTCCCCCACCAATATATTTTAATCCCTCTATTCCCTCCACCAGTGTATGCTCGGCGATTACATTTAGCCTCAATCCTGTTCACTCTATGGTTTTTAAGCATCGTATACATGTTCCTTGACCCATGGTTAGCACATAGTAGCGATCTCTGGAAAATACTGTCATGGGATTTATTCTTGTGAGAGAACATTTAATTCTACCAGTCTCAGCTGATTTTTTCCCGCCAAGTGTCCTTGAGAGATCATCTTTCTTAAGTAACTTAGCTTGAGAATGATCTAATTAGAAACAAAACAAAACTTTCATATCTGCATGGGATTTGATAGGTCATGGCAGTTTACTTACTAGAAGGAAAAAAAAAAAGAGATAAATTACCCAAATCATATATTTAAAGCATCAGATAGCTCTGGCAAACTGAGAACCAGAAAAACTGAAATTCTGGATGGGGAGACTCTTTCTGAACAGATCATTACCAGCTGCTTCCCCACCCTCATGGGACATTGCAATTCTAATTTCTTTTGTGGTAGGTCAGAAGCCTTTTCTAGAAGAGAGAGGAACCATACAATGTGTTGCAGTTGTATGAGACTAGAGAACTCGTGGGAAGTGAGACCTCAAAGGATGGCCATTCCCCAAGGACATCTCTATGACCCCGCACATTCTTCCAGCTGCATGCATACCTGCCCATGGTGACTTAAGCCAAAGGCTTATGAAAAGCAGCGTGAAATTCCCCTGCATGGTTGGAGGCGCTTCCGAAGCAAGTATCTGACCGGGGAGATAGGAGCCTCAAGCCCCTGACTGCTCTGCAGATTTTGCAGCCGAGTGGGGCACGTGGGCCTGGGAGCTCTGAAATGCACAGCTGGAACACATCTGCACTCCATCGGGGCTAAGGAGCACAGACACCTGGCAGGCTCTGGGCCAAAGCATGGCAGGCGGTGCTGCCTGGAGATCAGGGATGGAGTAGACGCAGGCTGGTTCTCCGCTGCAGCTCTATCTATGACTGGATTCTGGAGGTCCTTCCTGCCTCAGCTTCCTAGCGCGATGGTGGAATCTCTGGGGTAGAAAACATCGTCTGCGGGGGCACCTGGGCGGCTCAGTCCGTTAGGTGTCAGACCGAGGCCCAGGGCATGATCTCACAGGGTGTGAGTTCGAGCCCTGTGTCGGGCTCTGTGCTGACAGCTCAGAGCCTGCTTGGGATTCTCTGTCTCCCTCCCTCTCTCCTTCTCCACCCCTTGTGCTTTCTCTCTCTGTCTCAAAAGTAAATAAGCCAAAAAATAATAAGAAACATAAACAAATAAGTAAATAAATAAAACCATGGTCCACAGCATCTACAGTTTGTTAACACACATGCTTACTGTGCGATCAGAAATTACATGCAGAGACAAGGAAATTTACCCGAGAGTCGAAAGATAAAATGGATTCACAGATGATCCAGATGTAGGGCTAGCTGATAACAACTTGAAAGTACTTATGATGAAATGCCTAGGGGAGAGGAAAAGATGGACAAATCGAGGAGATAGCGGAATATACCCACATAAAAGGAGCCCCAGAAGGAAGAGGTGTACAAAGAACGTGGCAAGGCAATATCCCAACAGGTAAGTCCTCCAACTTGCAAATGGAATCAATGCACACACTTCAGAGGCTCAGCAAACCACACAGAAGGCAGACCACACGCAGGCCACCACCACCAATAAGAAAACACAAGGCGGATCCTAGGAAAGCAAAGGCAAAGCAGAAAAGCTTTAAAACCCTAAAAAAAGGTTGCCTTCAGAGGAACAACAGCGAGAGGCAAAACGAACTTCTAAGCAAAGCCAGGAAACTGCAAATCACAGGTGACAGTACCGGGAGAAAGAATTCAGCCTAAGACTCTGTTCTCGAATAAAAATACCCCTCAGAAATAACAATGAAGTAAAGTTGTTTTTAGACAACAAAAAGGAGGATATTTGCCGTCAGAAGTCTTTAATTTTTTTTTTTTTTAAGTGAAAGAAAATGATCCCGGACAGAAAAATGTACATTTAAGAGAGAATTAAAGACACCGGAATTAAATCCAGGGGTAAATAGGAGTAACATGCTTGGAACGTCTTGCAGACTATACATTTTCTGCGGAACAAGAATGCATGCCAACAGCAACGGCGGGAGCCCCGAGGGGTTACGTGGAGTTTAGAGGTTCTAAGGTTCTAGCAATATGAGGAAAATAGCCAAAGTAACAGAATCCCTTAAGAGTCAGTAAGTCAAAAATGCAGGCTTTCTTCTCTAGTGAGACTACAGGGACGACAGGGGAAGAATGTATAATGAGCCAGTTATATGCAGAAAATGTGAAATAAGAAATACTGCATTAATTAAAAGAAATCAAGGAGGGTACAGAAAGAATATAAAAATGGAGGCCCAGTCTAACAAAACAGAGAAGAGCCTAAAAACTAGACAAACAGAATCCAAATCTCTACCCAGCTGCTGGCATCGCTCTTCCGTGGTGTGAGGGCCCCGGCTAGATCATGTCCTTGCCAGTGCATCTGATAAGCATCCAGCCCTGTCCACTCACCAGAAGCCGAGTACCACCACTCTGCGTGTCTTCTCAGTCCTAGACTCTCTCTAGCAGAGCCCTTCCTAATGACCAAAGATATATGCGAGATGCGACGCTCCGCAAAGACCTTCATGATAGGAACACATTTGCAGATTGAGCCACTGGATGGCAGTCTGTGGAGAGTGCCTTTTCGTGGCCGCCGATCTGAGGCTTGTGGGGAGGGGTCTTGACATAAAATGCCCCAATCCCCCGAGTTACTGCTTCCCTTTTTTGAAAAAATAAGTAAATAAACGCACTTTCTCAGAGCTTCTCAGTGTTTACTAAAAATATCTGTATTCCCAAGTACATTATAAAAGGTGAAACTCCTATGCCCAAACCATTAGAAAGCATTTTCTTAATGAGGATATTGATGTCTTGAATAATGGAGTAAGTAAAAAAGACAGCCATCTTTGAATCAACAACCAAGAGCTTTC